ATTTTTTTCGAAAAACGTATAATTGAAAGTTTTTTTCCGGGGAAACACTGAGTTTAGATTAAGTTTCAGCGGGTGAAAATTCATAGGAATATTATGGTCTTATTATTTATTTATTTTTTTCATTAATTGGAATGGTAACAAAAAATGTCGTTTTGTAAAGCAAATTTGTCAAGAATGTTTAACCCCTATTTCTAAAATAAATCATCCATCTATGTTTATCCTGTCTATGCCAGTCCCTTAGGCTTACACCATGGACATTTAACATGTTTAACTTAGTTTAACTGGATGATTATGTTTAATAGTTGTTATTCTGAAGGATTTAACTTTATAATTCGATTTCGGAATAGTAGATAATAAATTGTTAAACGAGTTTCATTATATTTTATACATCCACATTTATACAATGGATATTTACCTGACAAGTGCAGTAGAGAGAATGAAAATGTCATGTAGTGACGCCATTTCCATTCACAAAAAAAAATAAAAAACAAGCATGCAATTTACATTTTATATTTCTTATTGAAGTATAAAACTGTCGTAAAAATTAATTGTTTACTTTTGTATTGGCATAATAGCCCACTAAAATAAAAATAAAATCATTTTTTTTTAAGAGTAAGATAAAAATGACCCAGAAGGTCTAAGAAACATTTTTCTGTAAGACATCATTATCTGAACAAAAATGTTTTTTAAGCTCAACTACATATATCACAAAAAGCTTTTTAAAGGTTACATGAAAAGAAGAGAAACGCATTAAGGAAAACTTAAATGTAAAGTAAAGAAAAAAAAGAAAAAATGCGTTTCTAGATAAATATCAAACGTAAAGAAATACATCTGCAAATAAAAAGAAGTCGAACACATGTTTTGAAAATCACGACATTATAAAATATTATGGAAAGTAAAATGTATATAACTAAAAGATACTCGTAAATACAGTGAATTTAAAATTTATATACTTCACTATACATTTTTTATGACAAATATTATTATAAAATATAAATAAATCATTTATAAATAATTTAAATATACAGGGTGTTTCTTTTAACTTGAGACAGCTCAATATCTCGAGAAATACGCATTTCACGGAAAAATGTCTTAAATAAAAGGTTAATGTGACTAAAGGGGACATTATTTGGTGCTACCGCTAGCCACCCTTTACCCCTCCTTAAGGGTGAAACGGGGGGTAACTTTGGAAAGTCAAATGGAATGACCCGATTTTTTTCACAGAGTTTGGTAGTACATAAAAAAATAAATAACTTTTATTAAATTTTTTTTCAATTTATCAACAGATGGCGCTGTAATTCAAAATTTAAGAAAAATGAGTTTCCTTGTAAAATGTATTATTTGAAACGTTTGAAAAACAAAAATTAACATTAACAACAATAGTCGGCTATGAAAACAATTTATAACAAATGTTCGAAATGTCGTCATTCCATTTCAACACATTTTTGAATGCGGGTAATGAATTCTGGCACACAACGCGCCAACATATCGGGCGGTATCGCCGCACAGGCGTTCCTGATCCGCTCCACCATGTCCTCCCAAGTTGTAGGAATTGCAGCATAAACTTTTTCTTTCAAGTAACCCCACTGGAAGAAGTCAGGTGGCGTAAGATCAGGTGATCGAGCAGGCCAAATTACTAGACCACGTCTACCGATCCACCGCGGTGCACCGGCCATTGAACTCCCGATCCAACACCTCTCGAGCAATTGTCGAATAATGTGCAGGACAACCATCTTGCTGGTACCACATGTTTTGGAGCCGTGCTAGTGGTACATCCTCCAAAAGGTCCGTCAGATCGTTTTCTAGAAAATTCCGGTACTTTTCGCCATTTAATGCACCGTCAATAAAGAAGGGTCCGATTAATCGTTCGCTTAAGGTACCGCACCAAACGTTTACCGACCAGGGACGCTGGTGCTCCACTTGGTGTCGAAATGGAAGGACGATATTTCGAACATTTGTTATAAATTGTTTTCAGAGCCGACTATTGTTGATTTAATGTTAATTTTTGTTTTTCAAACGTTTCAAATAATACATTTTACAAGGAAACCCCTTTTTCTTAAATTTTGAATTACAGCGCCATCTGTTAATAAATTGAAAAAAACTTTCAAATAAAAGTTATTCATTTTTTTATGTACTACCAAACTCTGTGAAAAAAATCGGGTCATTTCATTTGACTTTCCAAAGTTACCCCCCGTTTCACCCTTAAGGAGGGGTAGGGGGTGGCTAGCGGTAGCACCAAATAATGTCCCCTTTGGTCACATTAACCTTTTATTTAAGACATTTTTCCGTGAAATGCGTATTTCTCGAGATATTGAGCTGTCTCAAGTTAAAAGAAACACCCTGTATGTATAGAGCGGCATCTATAGATTGTATATATACAAAAAATAGAGTAACCAAATTGTTGTGGGAATCTGTTTTACCGGCTTTATTATGTCAAATGCCTAAAATCCACTATTACTTACTTCAGCCCGTGACTAAAACGCCATAAAGTCACAGCTCGTCAATGTGGGAGTAGATAATAGTATATTATGTATCAAGTTTGATAAACGCCATTTTATACACGAATTTAATTTGGGCACGAGCGAGCTTGCGAGCGAGTTCTTAAATTAATTAGTGTATAGAAAAGTTTATAAACGAGGTGCATACTATACTTTTTCTACGACAAATACTTATTATTATCTTAAAATGATTTAAATCAAAAATTTGTATAGAGCGCCATCTATGAAACAACAGGGGAAACTGTCAAATGTCACATTTTTACATTTTATAAACACAATTATAAAGGTTATAAATCGAAATATATATTGAAAATTGACAGTTTTTCAGTGAAAGTAAAAGAAATGTTTTATAAGGACTTTACAGTAGAGTCCGTGCCCGAATTTAAGTTATAGTTTACTGCCGGCGAAATTAAAAGGTCAGTACAATGTTCATATAAACTTTTTAAATATTGGCGTTGAGAAACTATTTAATACTTTTGTATTTTTGTATTGAGATAATAAAATAATTTTCACATTTAGTATTATTTTACAAGAAAGGCACTTTATTTAAACGATTGTATAACATTTGACAACAGTCAACGAACTTAAAACTAACTTCAGTCCGTGACTAAAATCCTATTGCTAACTTCAGCCCAAGACTAAAGCGCCATAAAGCCACAACTTGTCAATGTGTATTTAAAAGACCATAAGTGCACTTAGTGTCATGGAAACATGTACGATAAAGGGCGTTTTAAAGGTGGGAGGAGAAAAAATAATTTATTTATCGTTAAATTTGTTTTATTTATGCGCGACTAACTTTCTTAGCACTTAGCACAAATAATCTAATTTAAATAATCCGACAAAATAATTTTATTACATTAAATTGCGAGCTGATCGTATTTAGGACAATGGTGTCCTAAAAGGGTTTCCATTGTTACAATAAAGAGGTATAAACGGTATAATTCAATTTTCTTGTTCTTTAATTCTATATGCCAATTTAAAATTCACTTTAGTGAAACAGAGCATTAATTATTCATAAAAAATAACATTTTTGCTAATGGAAATTTCGTTGTTTATTGAAATAATTTAATTGGGTATTTGTGATCTAATTTTTATTCAGATTTGGTTGATTTTAATGTAGTTTAGCATAAGTTCATGTAACAGTTATCATTTACATATATGAATAAAAATTTTCATCTTACCAAATAATAATATTTATGGCTAAATATTTAGTTCAGACTTTTATTTCGAAGTGGTTATAACTTATAAGTAAAGAACGTTTTTAATTAAATTAAAAATTAATTTTAAAATAGTTTGTTTAGTGATTTTAATAGTAAAAAAAGTTAAAAATAATTTTAAGGCTATTTTTTATAGTTTATAGTGATTTTAATACTTGAATGGTTGGGGTTTTTTTATAATTTTTTAATGTGTAGTGCAAATTATATTTATATGGGTATGTAACAATATATAAAAAAATATCAAAATAATATTTTATTAAATTTTCAAATGAAATTAAACGTATTAATTACTATATTTTTTTAAAACGATTAAAATTATATTTATTTGTATTTCAAGGCAACATATACAAATAATTATTATTTCATTGTTTTTAAAGAGACCTAACTTTAAAAAAAGTAATCCCGGCGCATTCGCCATTTTTAAACTTTAAAATAATTTTTGAAAATGAGAAAATGTTGAAAAAAATCTTGGTTGTAGTAGAGTCTACTTAAAAAAATTGACTATTTTTTTAACGGTACCAAAACAAGACACCTGTAAAAACCGGAGCTCTTAATTTTAATATTTTTAATGAATTTTCCTAAAATTGAAGAAAAAATGCAATTATGACATAAATTTAACTTCGACTTTGAATAACTTTTGACCTCGTTGGTTAATCCAAAAATGATAGGAGACATTTTTTGTGCGAAAAATAGTTTTTTTTTGAACCTATTCACGGTGTGCCTGAACATAAAAATGCCGCCAAAAACTGATTGCAGTTTCTTGTTACATTAAAATAAACAAAAATTTAAAAAAAAATCATGAATTTTCAAAAAAATTCGAAAAGAGGAGCAGCTAAGATTTTGGTAAATATCATTTTTAAGTCACCAAAGGGTCCCGACCAAGAAACTGCACTTCGTTTAGGCACACCGTGTAGTGTATATAGTGCCTTTTGTATTAAAATAAAAATAAATATAAAATCAGTTAGAAAATTGTCTGTTTTTTTAAATGTGATAAAATGACAATGTCAGTTTTAATTTTGCAAGTTGGTACCTATCGCTATTTATGCATTAAGTATAAAAGCAACTCCCCTTACCTTCTTTCTTCGCAATGTACTGCCCGAACCTCTTTAATTAATAAATTTATTATTTAAAATTTCTATAAATTCTTTCTTCACTTTAATTAAGTGCAGAATCAAAAAATTCTAGGTTTTTTCTTATCTAAGCTTAATAACACAAATATCTTTCCTATATTTTTGCCTATTCAGTCATTCCCTAGTTTAAGTACTAATTTTATTATTTTTTATAGATCCGGAACGGAATGCTCCTCGAAACATGGAAACCCCATTGAGCGTGCACATCAAAAGAAACCCTGTGATATTTAGTCTAATCGTCGTACTAGCCTTGCCAGCGGCGGCGCGAACATGCCACCCGGAAACAGGCAAACCCACCGGAAGTGCTTTAGACAGAGACCTGAAACATTACGTGGACACAGTGCTGAGTGTGGACAATTACAGTATAGTGCCAGGAGTGCATATAGAGAGGAACAGCCGAGAAGTCAAGAATAGTACGCAGGAAGCTGGTAGCAGTTGCGGGCAAGCCAGTGCTTCCATTCAGGACTATGTTATGAAAAAAATTGAACAGTATACTGAGTCTCATGTGCTAGCTGTTAATGTTCCTACCACGGCCAGGTTTTTTAAAGGTACAGGTAAAGAAATCGTCCATTATGTTATTCACTTATCCACTAATCAGAGGTGGGAAAGTTACTTCTGAAAAGTATCTAGTAACTTTATTAAGATACTTTAAACAAAATAACTCGGGTAACTAGATACTTTGAGTTGAAAGTATCTTTAGTTACAAGATACTTCAAAAAGTATTTAAGATACTATCCGAAAGAATCTAAGATGCTATATGAAAGTATCTAAGATACTTTTGAGTAACTAAGATATTTTAAGTAACTAAGATACTTTTGAGTAACTAAGTTACTTTTAAGTTTTAATAAAAAATATAAAATTAAAAAAATTCAACATTGTTGGTTAGGTAATCACTTTGAATCATTCTGAAATTCCCCCAATTTTCTCTAAGAAAGTATCTAAGTTACAATGAAGAGTATCTAAGTTACTTTAAAAAGTATCTTAGTTACTTTAAAAAGTATCTTGGTTACTTTAAAAAGTATCTTGGTTACTTTAAAGTATCTAAGTTACTTGAATGTATCTTTACGTTACTTTACCAAGTAATTTAGATACAAGTTACAAGATACTTTTCCAAAGTAACTAAGTTAAAGATACTTTCTGTCCAATATAAATACTTTACGTATCTAAGTTACTTTCAAGCATCTTTTTTTCAAGATATTCCCAGTTCTGCCACTAATAAGACATTTTATTAGTATGCAACCATTATACACAAACGTATATACAGGGTGTTTATTTAAAAACGAGTAATCGGCCATTTCAAGCGGATGGACGGGACAAATCACAAAACTGTTTTTATAAAAAAAATTGTAGCTAATTTATTATATATTATTTTTGCATCAAAATTGTCAAATATATTCTTCTATTATTAGGGTATACATTAAATAAAAAAATCGCAAGAAATATTTTATAAAAGTAGAGATAATTTCAATAATTGACAGGGGACGGGACAAGATAAATCTTTTTTTTGTCCCGTCCACACCTTTCAATTATTAAAATTATATCTACTTTCATAAAATATTTCTTGAGTTTTTTTTTATTTAATGTATAACCTAACAAAAGAAGAATATTTTTGACAATTTTGATGCAAAAATATTATATAATAAATAATCTACAATTTTTTTTATAAAAACAGTTTTGTAATTCGTGCGTTTCGCGCGCTTGAAATGGCCGTAATGTTCTATAAGTCTAAAAAAAAATAAGTATCACAACAAAAATTACCTTCACCAAGCAATTTAAATCCTCAATGGAATGTGTAGGTTTTTGGTACATTTTTTGTAAGGGATTTATAAATATGACTGCTATTTTAAATAGTATTTTTTGTTTTCAAAATTCTAAACGTGTTTTAGTTATTTTTATTTATGGGGCACAAAATCCAGATCTGACACCACTAGACTTTTTCTTATGGGGTCACTTAAAATTTAGCCTCATTTAATTGAAGATCTGCGAAAACGAATACTTTAAGAATGCCAAGCCATTCAACGACAAACATTTCCAAAATGTTCGAAGGGAATTTGAGAATAGACTGTACTATTGCTTACAAAATAATGATAGTTATTTTAAGCATTAAATTTAAAAAGCCAAAATTTAAAGTGTTCTAATTACAAAATGGTTTAATTAGATATTTATAACAAGAAATTGCTATTAATATAATAATTGCTGTTTATTAAAAAACCACAATAATAAAAGTATATTAGTATTTTGTCTGAAAAATAAAATGTAAAACTTGAGTGCATATGGCACGACATTTAATCGCCCACATTGCGATCATTTAATCAAATTAAATTCGCCCTTTAAACCAAAAGGTTTTTATTCTCATTGATCGAGGTATAAAATTACACAATTAATTTGAAATTAAACCTCCATTTTTTATACTAAATAAATTCATGGTATAAGGGCTAAAAGCTGTAACCATTTCTTGCACGTTTATGCTAATAAACTGAGCTTCTAAGTTTCTAATTAAAATTAAATTATTTATGTTAGTAAACACGATGAAACCTTGTCTATAGATGAAAGCCATCCTTAACTCCATTTACATATTTTGGCTATGTACTACGTATATGGGTGAATATTTCAAAAGTGTAATTCAATCGGTTCTGGCTTGTTATTTTAAAAGTTAATATCCCACTAAAAATAAAATACTTGATGTCTAGTTTAATTAACTATTTTTACTTGATTCCTTAGTTATTTTAGCCTAAACGAGCATAGTAAAAAATATATTTTAATTTTCGTGTCGCAAACGTCATTACCGTGCCTTGTTTACACTCGAAGAACAACAACATATTATTTTCTTACATTTATTTACAAATTAAATCTTGCAATATCCTGTCTAACACAGACGAAGAAAATACAAAATAATACAATGCAAGCAAGAAATTCCATTTTAAAATGTTAACTTTTCTTTTAATGCCGTTTAAACTTTGTTCACATCCATGAGCGTCATTGCCGTGGCCACTTAAAATATGTCTAATTTCATATTTAAATACGCGATACATTCGGAAAATGCCGGAAGTTTTCGAACGTCTGATATGGAAATATCCTGCCTGTCTAACGTCCACTAGCATATGTCAAACTATAAAGTTGTGACGTGCGCCGAATGAAAACCAAAACGGCTTGTTACGTCTAAGTCCTTCATTGTCGGGGTAAGTATTATTTCAAAGTTTATGGAGATACAAAATATTTAAATTAATACAAATACATTAACAAAAAGCAAATGGTAACTTAAAAATTCCATTACATTTATTAAAACACTCTAACCTTAAAATCATCATTACCGTGCTCGTCATTGTCGTGTCCCTTACATGTAACCATTTGAAAATATTTCATTTCAGTGGAAAATTAATTAAAATGATAAAACCACGAAACAAGTTGACCAACGAAGCTAAAAAAAAGCACTACGTGAGAGACGCAGAAGAATAAGAGATGACCAAGTAAAACCGTGGGTTCAACTTTCTAAAAAATACAAAAAAGATTTGGTTTTTTAGTCTTCATGAGTGGAAAAGTCCTAAAAGTGCAAAATTAATAAGATTTGGAATTTTTTTATATGTTAACGAAAATGGTTCCGAAAATCGATAGTTTTAAAATATTCACCCATATATCCACAAAAACTTATTGAGCCAAGAGCCATAACATAATAAGCGGATGCAGCTTACTAAATCTTTGGAATTATGTGTACTATTGCCCTCTGTATTAAACGATACATTACTGAATTAAAAATTCAGACCTCATTTTTACCGACTTTTGACAAGCTTTTTTGCTATGAAAGGCCTGCAGAAACGAAAATGACCGTTAAGTGCAATTTATCCAATTTATATTTGATTACATTAAAATGTTAATGTTATAAAATATATAGATTAAGTTACAGAATTTTAAAAATTTCATTGGTCGTAGAAAAATTGTGCATGTAAAAATTGTCCAAGTTACGCCATAAAAACATAGGACCTATTAAAATATTTAATTTACAAAATTTTTATTCCTACGAATTTTAATGTTTGCATGTTAAAAGCAAAATGACCCAAATTATTGACCACGCTGTGGGAAACAAAAAAATTCATATTATTATTATTATTATTTATGTCAAATTCGCTTTGGGTCTAGACAACTTTATTAATGTTAAAACTATTTAGTTTCTCCCACTTGGGAAAACTTTTTAGATTGAGACTTTTATGATAAGACTTTAAAAATTATCATTATTTATGACATTTCATAAACTTGATCTTGATCAAAGTTAAAGCATATCCAAGGCTCATTAAATTATGCATTTTAGGAATAAAATATTATTTTGATTTAAAAAAAACTCTAATAAATACAATGTTGCCATATATTTAAAAATGTAGGTAATAACTAAGTATAAAAACTTAAAATATAAAAAATAAAATATTTAAATGATTCATCGTTAAAATAAAACAACACATTTCCTCCCCTAAATAAATTTATTTAATACGCAAAAGGTTTTCGCGAATTTAATAATAAAATTTGAAAGTTTAAACGTGAATCAATTCTCCCGAGCCAGAAAACAATTTCTTCATGCATTCATTTATCTTTATTTTATTTCCATTTAGAATCAATATTGCCTCCATAAATCTAAAACATGCAAATAATAAGTAAACGAGAAACCGACAAACGCAAAATGATGAGTTTTCAACTTTTTTTCCTAAAAAATTTATTCTAAAATATACACAATTATGTTTTTTAACAAGAAGGCAAAAAATTATTTATATGGGACAAATTTAAAATGAATTTAGTTATATGTATGTTGGATGGTTTTCTTTTTAACTTTTTAAAAACCAACTTTATTTATTCTTTGGGTTTTCTGTATTAATACACTTTTATAACTTTTTAGTTTTATTTTAATATTTAAACGAAGTATGGTATTTGTAATATAATAGTAAAATTAAACCTAAATGGAAAAATAATTATAATTGGTAAATAAGTATAAAAATATGTAAATTAATAAAATATAACATGTGGGTGAATCTCACGAGATGTCCCCCGATGGTGTTACCCCGTGATAAATTATAAAACTAAAATTAATTATTTTTTGCAATTTTTTTAAAGTCTAAAACCTATCCTCCATGATTGTTACTCTTTTTAGGTTAACCTATATGTTTTCAAATATCTAAGGTAGTAAAAGCATACTAAAAATATCAGTTCACTAAGTAAATTAAACACATATAAAGCAATCGAATCAAATATAAAATATTATAAAAATTAAAAGAAATAATTTTTATAATTACAAAAATTGATTTTATCCTCCATGAATCTGTTTTTGCTTTAAATTTTTATCATTTTAAATAAGCAAAAACCTCTGTTTACGACATTATAGATGCATGTGATTTCTGAAGGTCAGTTTCAGAATTTATATGCAGATGAGTGTTGCTGTTTTAAAATTCAAAAGTTTGAGTTCATTAATTTTCTATTTAAAAACCTATCCACCGTAAAGTGTAATATGTCAGTAAGTAGATTTTTTTTATAAATATTTTATGTATGTACAATTGTATTTTTAAAAAATATTAAGGTGTCAAAAAATACAATAACTTATTTCAAGTATACAAAGGGATGTTTTAATACCTCCGTGAAGCTATCTTCCGTGAAGCTCTAATATTCAAAGTGTATGATTTCTTAAAATTCTTGCATTAGTGCAGAACCACTATACCTGGTGGCTTCCCAAAAACCTCATTCTAGACTAACAGTGAAACAACCAAAAATAAAAAATAATCATTTTCACTTGTCATGTCAACCCATGTATGACAGAAGTCAAAATGTAAACAAAAAGCATAATTAATTAAATACCTAATACTGCTCCATTAAATAACTTTTTTGCCGTAATGAAAAACTGTAATATATTTAATTAGAAAATTATTTTGCATGTGTAGACAACTTTTTTGAATTAATCAAAACATAAAGTAATTCACCATTTGCATGCCATGGCATAGATAATCTAAAATGTCTGAAATTTGCATTTTACATACACATACACATTTGGAGATTTCCCTGGTGGAATTTAGGTGCGAATTACGTGCTTATTATAAATGCAAAAGTCATTTTATTAACTATTAAAGTTTATTAACGTTGACCTCATCTAAAAAGTAAACAATTTTATTATATTATATTATAATGACATTTTTAAAATGTATATGGACAAAACAGTATTTCTTCTACTTACCCTGTATTTCACATCAAATTGTTTGTACAAATTTTAATTAGGCTGGAATATATTTTTTTTAGTTTATGACACAAAACTTGGTTTTGTTTAAAACAGTTGTAGTAAATTTATTACATTATTTATAATTAAAGTTTAAAATTTAAATTGCTAGATCGTACCTATAACATAAAATAATATGTTTACTATTGTAACCCACATACGAGGTGTTTTAAGAAAATAACGGGAATTGTTAAATTTCGCGGGTTCGGAGGGTCCGGTTGTCATAAAATTTTCTTTATTATGTTAGTATACATGCCCCCGAAGTATGATAAAAACTTTGACTGTTTTCATTATTTACTTTGTCTGTGGCAGCCGCTAAGGTTAGACGTGTTTTATGAGCTCGGCGATTTTCGTTCGTTAAAAGAAATGGATCAAAGAATTTGTATCCAATTTTGCTTAAAAAATAAAATAAATTCTGTGAAATGTTAACAAAGGCCTATAGTGAGTCTGCTATAAGTAAAACAAGAGTTTACAAGTGGTATAAGAGTTTCCATGATGACCGTGAAGACGTTGAAAATGACGAACGCCCCGAACGCATAAGCACATTAACAACCGATAAAAACATGGAAAAAGTGGAAGAAAGGGTTATAAACCATCAGAGAAGTTGCTGATGATGTTGGTATATCGATTGGCTCATCCCATGAAATTTTTTCGAATGCGTCGCAGCAAAATTTGTTCCAAAATTGTTAAATTTTGAACAAAATTTTTGGCCAAAAACAATAGTGTAATGATACCCCAGCCTACATATTCGCCAGGACATGTCTCTGTGTGACTTTTTCCTATTCCCCAAAATAAAGAGAACCTTAAAGGGCCGTCGTTTTGCAATCATAGATGACATTAAAAGCGCATCGCTGAAAGAACTAAAGGCTATCCCAAAGATCAAGTTTTAGAAGTGTTTCGAGTATTGGAAGAAGAGCTGGCACATGTGCATAAAATCCAATGGGTACTATTTTGAAGGCGACAACATTAATGTAGACCAGTAAATAAATATTTGTTTCAAAAAACGAAAATTCCCGATATTTTCTGACATACCTCGTATAAACTAAAAAATATGTCCACATTCAAAAAAAGTATATTTGGTTAATACGTTTGCATAAAATATTATAATTTATTTTATTTATTGAATATTTGAAAAAAAAAAACATTTTCAATTTAAATTTATACCTAAATTTTTTTTTGTCCAAAAATATGTTTTTTTATAAACATGCCTAAAACACGATACATCTCACTATTTTAGTTGAAACTGGAAAGAGCTCCTTCATGACGGGATTCGGTATGGGCTTTTTGGCCTTCTTCCTCAAAAAACTCCTTTTACCAGTCTTCATTGGCGCCCAACTGGTAAAATCCGTACTCATTGCCATGTTCCTACCATCGATTCTTGGCAGTTTGGGTAAATTGGTCGGCAAAGGTTTATCAACGTTCTCTGGAGTGTCAGGAACTTCAGCTGGAGTGAAAAATCATCAACAGGTCGAAGATTTCGAGTTCAAGGACACCGGGCCATACAATAGCGAAGATGGTATGGATTTCAATGCCGAAGCTGATACGATGAATGTCAATGTGGAGTCTACGACGGCTGCAGCTACATCCAACAGCAGGTAAATTTATAACTTTTAACTTTTATAATATTGGGTAAATATTCATCATCTATTTTCATATAAAATAAAATGCTACATTATTTTTAAGTGAGGTTTAAGAGAGCTTGAGGTAGATTTTAATCCATCGATACCCAAACTGAAATCATCAAAATAACATTTGTTATAGTATTTGTTCTGGTAAAAGTAACATTTTTAATAGTCCATAGTAAATAGCATTTAATTATCAGCATTTTTGTATACAAGGTCCATTAGAAGTTTCTGGGGAACGAAAAATGTTAATTTTAAATTTTAAAAGCTATTATATTCTTCTAAAATATTTTGAACAAAATGCCTCCAGAAGTGACATCAACTTAGAACACCCCTAATTTTTTTACATTTTTAAATTCTATACAATGTATACATAAAATTTTAAGTAAAATTACTATACCATGTCCTATATAGTAAATAGTTTTCGAGTTATAGATTTTTTTGTTTAAGTTTGATAAATGCGCGTCATTCAAAAATAGCCTATAACTTTTTTGTTATTAGGTAAACTTTTTGGAACCTTAAAATTTTTTTTAAATAATCCATGTTGAAACGTTAATAACTTGTAATTTTAAATGTAACGGTATGTTTTTACCTAATCAAGTAAATTAAAAAACCTTTAAATTAATCTAACTATTTCCTATACAGAAAATTAATAGTTTCAGAGATATTTAACAATTTCTAAAATTTTAAATATTATTCATAAAAAAGTCGCTTTTCAACACTTGTAAAACAAATAATATCGGTATCGAAAAAACATAGATTTATGACTGTTCTTAATCTTAAACATATTTAAAAAAAACTGTATATTTTTTGTTATAACACTGATATTCAGAAAATATCGGGAATTTTCGTTTTTGGAAACAAATATTTATTTATTCGTCTACATTAATGTTATCGCCTTTAAAATAGTCCCCATTGGATATTATGCACATGTGTCAGCTCTTCTTCCAATACTCGAAACACTTCTAAAACTCGATCTTTGGGATAGCCTTTAGTTCTTTTAGCGATGCGCTTTTAATTTCATCTATGCTTGCAAAACGACGGCCCTTTAAGGTTCTCTTTATTTTGGGAATAGGACAAAGTCAGACAGAGGCATGTCTGGCGAATATGGAGGCTGGGGCATCATTACAGTATTGTTTTTGGCCAAAAATGTTGTTCAAAATTTAACAATTTTAGAACAAATTTTGCTGCCACGCGTTTCATACCCAAAACATTCGAAAAAAGGTCATGGGATTAGCCAATCGATATACCAAAATCATCAGCTACTTCTCTGATGGTTTATAACCATTTCTTCCACTTTTTCCATGTTTTTATCGGTTGTTATGCCCTTGTGCGTTCGGGGCGTTCGTCATCTTCAACGTCTTCACGGCCATCTTGGAAACAAATATATCACAGAATTTATTTTATTTTTTAAGCAAAATTGGATACAAATTCTTTGATCCATTTCTTTTAACGAACGAAAAATCGCCGAGCTCATAAAACACGTCTAACCTTAGCGGCTGCCACAGACAAAGTAATCAATGAAAACAGTTTTTATCATACTTCGGGGGCATATATACCAACATATTAAAGAAAATTTGATGACAACCGGATTTAACAATTCCCGTTATTTTCTGAACACACCCCGTATTTACTTTACAGATTATTTGATTGTGTTATTATAAAATTGCTGTTTTGTTTTCCTTGCTTTTGTAATATGGGGTTAAGTGGAAGAGTAGCTTTTGCTAAACTTTGCCCATTTTTTATTAATAAAGGCAATATTATTAATATTATTACTATTATTGTTATTATTATTAATATTATCTGTGGTAACTACGTAATCTGTCATGGTTAAAAATTTAAGGGTGTCAATTTTTCAGTTCGTTATAAACAAAATTACTGATAAAAATAGCAGTCAGTGACATAAAAACATTAACAAGCCAAACATTTTTAAAATTTAAAAATAAAACAAAGAGTATTTGCTAATTTAAAGTAAAATCGACAAAGCTATAGTATGTCAGTTTAAAATTTATGAAATATTTTAATAATAAAAAAATGCGCTAATGTAACAATTTAATATATCAATACTATTTTAATTAACAATTTTTATTACTTATTTATCACTAAATGTTCAAAGTGTCCTTTATCATTTAAGAATTTCTTAATTCTTACTTCTACATTGACTATTCTGGGTCTAATATTAGAAAACCTTAAATATATCTGAAATTATTAAAATTAGGTATTGGGAATAGTTACATTAATCGAAATGTTTATTAATTTACTTTTAAGTTATGTAAAACCATACAGGGTGTTACATTTAAAATAGAAAAGTTATTAACGTTTCAAGTTAGCCTAATTTGGTTTTTTTCAAGTAATATGTTTAAATATGTTAAAGAATTGACATGAAACCTTTTAAACAGTGTTTTTAAGATTCCAACCCCATATCCGCAAACATAAAAACAACAAAATTATAGGCTAATTTTAACGCGCATTTGTCAAATTATAACAAAAAATTAATTATTCGAAAACTATATTCACTTTACGTATAGGGCATGGTTTAGTCATTAAACAGACTTTATAAATTTAAAATCGATAGCTTTTGCCGTTCTTCAAAAATGTAATTGACCAAGAACGTGAAACACCCTGTATTTGTAGGTATTCAATATTTAACATAAATTGTTGAACTGCTTTCTCCCACTTATCTTAACAGCATCAATCTCTATTATCTTTAAATGGCGACGTGATATAAGACATCATTATCGAGTAAAATCGTAAAATTTCCCAATAGGATTTTTATGTCATTGTATTGCATAAATTACCTATACTAGTCGAAATAAAAATATCTGAGCGTTATGGAATACCAAAATTATGATAATTTTAGTTTCTTTTGTTGTTGTCAATTTAAATATTGGTCCTACCTACAAACATACTTTACTTACAAAAGTGTACCTACGCACTAAATTTTATGAAACATACATATACACGAGGTGTGTTCAGAAAATATCGGGAATTTTCGTTTTTTGAAACAAATATTTATTATTCGTCTACATTAATGTTGTCGCCTTCAAAATAGTCCCCATTGGATATTATGCACATGTGCCAGCTCTTCTTCCAATACTCTAAACACTTCTAAAACTCGATCTTTGGGATAGCCTTTAGTTCTTTCAGCGATGCGCTTTTAATGTCATATATGCTTGCAAAACGACGGCCCTTTAAGGTTCTCTTTATTTTTGGGAATTGGAAAAAGTCAGACAGAGTCATGTCTGGCGAATATGGAGGATCATTACAGTATCCTTTTTGGGCAAAAATTTTGTTCAAAATTTAACAATTTTAGAAAAAATTTTGCTGCCACGCATTTCATACCCAAAACATTCGAAAAAATTTCATGGGATGGGCCAATCGATATACCAACATCATCAGCGACTTCTCTGATGGTTTATAACCATTTATTCCACTTTTTCCATGTTTTTATCGGTTGTTAATGTGCTTGGGCGTTCGGGGCGTTCGTCATCTTCAACGTCTTCACGGCCATCTTGGAAACTCTTATACCACTTGTAAACTCTTGTTTTACTTATAGCAGACTCACTATAGGCCTTATTTCATTTTTTAAGCAAAATTGGATACAAATTCTTTGATCCATTTCTTTTAACGAACGAAAAATCGCCGAGCTCATAAAACACGTCTAACCTTAGCGGCTGCCACAGACAAAGTAAACAATGAAAACAGCTAAAGTTTTTATCATACTTCGGGGGCATGTATACCAACATAATAAAGAAAATTTTATGACAACCGGACCCTCCGAACCCGCGAAGTTTAACAATTCCCGTTATTTTCTGAACACACCTCGTACATATTTTGTTTTACGCGTTTATTAGGTAAATAACATCACTTGCAATGCTTTTAGATTAAATAAACAGTTTAAATGTATGTCGAGAGTCGTCAAACAATACTAAATTGTTAAAATTTAATGTAGGTACCTACCTATAATGATAAAACTGTAATGCACGGAAATGGAAATTAGGTTTATAGCTATTTATATAGGATAAAATTAATTTAATCATTAACCTATTTGGCTCTAGTACAAACAGAAACCTTTTATAGATAAAATAGAGCACATATGCAAATTTGTGCTTTTTTAAAAATGTTTCTTAACGAAAAAAGTGTTTTTGAAAAATAATTAGGTATAACAAAAATAGTTGATATTTTCTTAAAATAGTATATTTTAAGTTTGAGAAACGCCATTTTGTCACTTTTTTTTATCCAAAATAAATTTTTCGCTTAAAAATGACTCTATTACGGGCGACAAATTTTTCTGTGTAAATCGAAATTTATCCCTTGAAAATGGACTAACCACCATTTTAATCGGATATAGAATCATTTTTTAAATATTGGCGTATTTGACAACTGACAACTAATTTAAAGCTACTCTCTAAAAATGAATTAGTCAAAAATGACTAATTTAATAGTTACCATGGTTAACCATGGAATACCATGGTACCCCCAAAATTTAAAAGCCAATATTATGTAAAATTGTCCCCTGAATCCAAAAATGACGTCAAAAGTTAAAAAAGTTTCGAGATATAGTCAATTTTACATTTTATATGTGTTAGACCCTGTATATTTATTTGGTAACAGTTTGTTTTTCTAATGTATATTAAATAATCTTTTAGTCGTGATCTTTAGGGTTACAAAAAATAAGTCCATAAATTAAATTAATAAAAAGTTCAAATAGTTCAAGTAATTATTACGCATCATTAGATATTTCATAATTTCAAAGACAGCGCTTCTATTTTTCCATTAACTGATAAAAATTATCGCGCTGTATAAAAGCTCATTTTTAGAAACCAAAAGAACACTTACTATTTACTTTTCACTCACTTAACTTAAGATTTAACTTCTCGAATATTTATTATTCATTTAATTATTATGTAAAACTTATTTACAATAAACGATCTTACGAGTCAAAGTGTTAGTTCTTCGTATCCCAACATAAA